TGCCATTTGCAGCAACATGGATGTTCCTGGAGAATGTCATTCTAAATGAAGTAAGCCAGAAAGAGAAAGAAAAATAATCGTATGAGATCGCTCATATGTGGAATACTAAAAAAAAAAAAAAAAAGAAACATAAGTACTAACAGACTCATAAACATAGAATACAAACTTGTGGTTGCCAAGGGGGCGGGGGGTGGGAAGGGACAGACTGGGAGTTCAAAATTTGTAGATACTGACAGGCATATGTAGAAAAGATAAACAAGATTATACTGTATAGCACAGGGAAATATATAAGGATCTTGTGGTAGCTCACAGAGAAAAAAAATGTGACAATGAATATATGTATGTTCATGTATAACTGAAAAATTGTGCTCTACACTGGAATTTGACACAACAGTATAAAATGACTACAACTCAATAAAAAAGTTAAAAAAATTGAAGTAGTGCTTTCACCCTTTTAAACTTCTATACTGAATCTTTTCCAATAATAATGTATTCCTGTATTACTTGAGTAATTAAAAAAAAACTAGAGGCCAAAAACAGTAGAAATCTTCATATCTGGGAATCCTTCCTACTCTGTCATACAGAGTAAAATGCTGTTTACAACATTTCTCCTGGTTCCTTATGTGGGATTCACAGTCATGTAAAGAAACATATTCCAGTTTAAGAATTCCTTGGATGTCAGTGAGTCTTCTACTACTTTGAACTTGGTTTGAACAAGCAGAGCCACACATTTCACACCAAGGAACTAAAAGGATACATAAATTATAAATCAGTACTTTGGCAGGAGACCAATGATACACGCTGCAACACTTGGCCTTTTCTCCTATTTCCTACTGCTCTTCTCCTCTTTCATTTTAGAAGGGCATGCACATGACCTACCAAATTTCTCTTTTTACAAACTACCAGGAGATTGGAAAAATGCCCAAAAGAGAAGAAATTGAAGAAAAGTAAAAATCAACTAAGAAATTACTTTTAGATTCTAATAATAATAATGATAATAATAATAAAAATATTACAAATAATGATCCAAAATGTTATTTTATACAGAGAGCCATGCTACATGAAAAACAAACATAGTTGTAATATATAGTAATAGATAGCACTCTAGTGAAACAAAATTTATATTGCTAGATCAGAATTTAAAGATTATACAATATTGTTGGAGAACTGTTTATAAAGTAGAAATCTATAAATCAAATTACTTTTTCAATGACCTACAACTTAATTTCAGAGTTGGTTCCTCCATTCATAAAAATAACAGTCATACTAAAAGTTAGAATACTCAATATTTGGTTTAGGAAATATTTTGACATTACTAATGCATGGTCTTCATCTATTAAATTCTCCCACACAATTGGTACATGAAAATTCAATCAAATGGATTAAGTCCCTGGTTTTCGCAAAAAGCAGCTATATTAAGATACAATTCATTTCCAGCTCATTGGAATGTCTTGGTGATTCCATTAAGCTTGAATATTTAACTAAATACTTTGCTAAGTATGTATTTTTAAAATGTATTCATTAGCCAAATGAGAGCTATCAAAATAATCTTTTCAGAGAGAACACTTGTTAACAAAACGCTCATGTATCAGTAACTCAGCACAGAGTTTAGATGAGAAGTACAAATTCATAAAAATAATGAGTGGGTACTCCTTTATTTTTAAGCTTTATATACCCTTTGTGATGTCATTATATGACTATCTGGATTAATCATTCTCAGACTAGGACTCTTCATATTTGATAGGAGATTCAAAATCACTAATATTTTTATCAAAAACACTTTATTACAAGACTTAAAACAGCCATTTGGCTCTCTTAAATATTTCAAATACTCTTCCTGAGTCATAGGACCAAGAATACCATGATTAGCAAACCATCTATAAGTGCTAAATATCCTGCAGGATATGTTTAAGGCTGCCTCCCTGGCCAGTCAATCCACAATTTCTTTTCAGAAAAACTGAAATGAACTATTAGTTTATTTGGTTAAATATTTAAAGTGCTAAGGGAAAATGTTCCATTGATAGCTTGCTCGGTACTAAGAAGTTTGTTTTCTGTTTTAATATTAACGGTTCAGCTCTGTAAATATAACGAAAGCCATTCTCACCTTCTCATAAAGCAGCTGAGGTAAATTCTGTTGCTGCCTGTCCTGAAAACACTCATAAAGTTGGAGAAGCCTAGCACATAATACGTGTTCTTGATTGAAGAGAGGATGATGACTGAATTGCAAACCCACAATGTTGAGATCTAATTGATACATTTCCCTTTGACCTTTCATTTTGTTCCTGATAGAGCTTTCCAGATCAGATTTCATTGCCTTTTAAAGAAAAATATTTACACAATATTAATTTGATTCTATTCCTCTTGAAAGTAAGTAACTCCTTATAAAAATAAAACATTAATTGCAAGAAAATTAAGAGATTCAGAAAAGCAAAAAACAATAATTTGACCCTTCTTCCTTGAAATTGATTATGGCCCTTGAGTTTATAAAATACATTTATGTTGCACCATTTTAATCATCTTGCTTTAAATTACGGTCATCTACTTTACTACTGTGTGCTGGTAGAAGTTGCACTTTTAAGTTATAAGCCCCCAAATAATTTCCTATAGGAATGCTATGACAAATGGTGTTTAGAACTGGTGGGTCAATAGTTCACTATGTGGTGATCTAATAGTCATCTGTGGGCCAGAACTAAAAAATGGCAAACCTTTATTAAAACATTGTTTTTAAGTGAATATATGTTGGCAATCCCCTGGAAAATTCCCTGGAGGAGCCTGGAACCTCTAAGCAAATGCTACCTTATAAGAAGAGCATCTTTATATATGGCAAAGTCTCCATTTGGATACTAGGTTGTGCCTAAATTAGTTGAAGTCTGGAGGCCTTATATTCAAAATGATTCAGCTATGTTTTAGTACACTACTTTGAATTTTAGCACATACGTCTAAACATGCACGTGATTGGTTTTTTGTGATGCAATTTGAGATGCAATTTTGTGATGCAATTATAGTGGGTTACTCAGCATGTAAAGCCCAATTCACGAATGGCTAACCACTCTCAATATGAGCCAAGATTGCATTCACAAAAAAAAAAAAAAGAGAGAGAGAGAGAGCATGAGCCCTTTCCTTGGATCAGTCTGAAGTAGCAGAACGTGCCCTCCATCCTACACCATTGCTTACACTTGCTGATATACTGAAAAAACTGCTGTGTACACCTCTAACCTGGTGTGACATATCCGGTGCTTCTCAAGGACTGCAGGTCACCAGTATGATGCCTACATCTCTCCCTCCCTCCTCTCTCCTGAGCAAGATAACAGTCATAAAGTTTGTTTTTGTTTTATCCTTATCTTGTAAGTCTCTATTCTCAATGTAAGGATCAACTCAGAAGGGAAAACTTGCACTTAATTCCATCTACAAAATTCAGTAATTGGTAGTAAACTCGTCATTAATCAGGCAAAACCACCAAGGAAATAAACAGTTTCAGTTTTAAATAACCAAATTATAAATGAATAATTGGAAATTAAAGTTGCAATAGAAACAGTGAGCTTCAGAAGTAAGTGGAAAGTCATCTTCAGAGTGCTAAAAGCAAAATAACAGCCAACCTAGAATTCTAGACCTAGCAAAAAATATCCAGTATTACTTTTTTTTTTTAACTTTAATGTTGTGGTGGAACTTCTCCATTAGACTCTCAGACCTCCATAATGGCACTCTTGTCCATGGGTGATTGTCAAAATCAGTGTTCTTTGGAGAGAAAGACAGTAGAAAACTTGATTTGCTGTGATGATGATGTCATTCTTTCAGTTTTGCTCTTTTCTATCAAGATTGTTTTGATTATTCAGGGTCCTTGGTACTTCTATATGAATTTGAGGATTGTTTTCTATTTCTGTGAAAAACATCACTGGAATTTTGATAGGGATTGCACTGAATATGTAGACTGCTTTGGGTAGTATAGATAGTTTAATAATATTAAGTCTTCCAATCCATAAACACAGGATGTCTCTCCACTGGACAGTTTTTTATTTTTAAAGAAATTATGTCTTTAATAAAAAACATTCCCACAAATAAATTTCTAGGTCACGATGGATTCATCAGTGAATTCTTCCAAATATTTAAGGAAGAAAAAACAAAAATCTTATACAATTCTCCCAGAGAAGAGAAAAGAGTGAACATTCCCAAAATTGTGTTGAAGTCAGTGTAACCTTGATGAAAATCTGACAAGAATATTGCGAGGAAAAAAAAAAGACAAATTTATGTCAGGAACATATACGCAAAAATCCTAAGCAAAAATATTAGCAAATGGAATCCAGTAATATATAAAAAGAAAATGAATCACAAATGGGGTATATTTCAGAAATATTTGAAAATCAGTGTAATTCACCACATTAAAAGTAAAGAAGAAAATACTATTATAATACTTAATAGGCTCAGAAAAAGCATTTGATAAACATCAACAAACATTCATGATCAAAATCTTCATGTCCTAAATTTTAAAAGTGAGACATTTAATTAAAGCTTAAATGCCTTTGTACGGTAAAATGATAAAAAGATTTTCTTAACAGCAAAAACATTTACTGTATTTTTAGAAGATCCTGAAAGAAATGTATAAGCAGTATAAAGATAAAAAATACTACAACATAGGAAAGATTTCTTTTTTAATTTTTTAGATTCTCTGGGAAAAAAATCAGAAGCTGTGAAGAAGGAAAGACAGCATGTATCATATAGAATGAAGATCCTCATGTGATACATAAAGACAAGGAGACCTCCAAAATATATATATCTCTTTAGTTTAGGGAGAAGCCTCATTTCCTCTGTAGGCCGAGATGTATCAGCCTTATCAGGAAAGAAGTGCCCTTGCTGTTAAAATGTTGCAGCTATTAGAATATGCAAGGAATACAGAAAGCAGTTGTAAAGAAAAAGCATTAACTACAGAAAGCATGTACTTTCTAGAAGAGCAGAAGTAACTTACAGGTTTAAAGCAACAGAGGGAATAAAGAACATAAATACAGCTATAAGTACAGTTGACCTTTGAACAACATGAGTTTGAACGGTGCTTGTCCACTTATATGTGGATTTTTTTCAATAAATATAGTATCTATATTTTCATTTTACAGATCTTTAAACTAAGTGTGGGGAAAAGTTGGTTTTCAATTAGAGATCACAATGTATGAATCGAAAGAACTAGGGTAGGAGCCCTGATTCTATCCAACCAGTTTCAGCTTCCTGCCCTTGGGTGAATCATTTATCAATGTCTTTATTTCTGAGGCAGAGAGAACAGTATGCACTTTTTTGAGTTCATGGAGGTTGGTGCCCCAAATGCCAGGTTGTTCAAGGGTCTACTGTATTTTGAGTAGGTACTATTTCCACTTTGTATCTACCAACCACTGTATTTCTTATATATGGTATGGTTAAGGCAAGTGAATGAGCAACTAAGTTTTTGTACATAATTCTGACTTACAATTTTTTCAAGCCAAATTATTAATATAACTATTTCTGTCTAAATATTTCTTCTTATTAGGTCAATGGACTGTTAATTTTCATAATGTCTTTTAGAATATTCATTAAATTTGTTTCCTTGATTATAATATACACTTACTTTTGAAATTTACAAAATAGAGTATGAAAAGGAAAATAAAAATAATCGCTATGTCCTACTATCCAGAGATAATTGTTAACTTTGATACATTTTCTAGTCTTTTTAACTATATACACATACGTATGTACTTACATATTCATTTATAAATTCACTCATTCATTCATTACCTATTTTTATAAAATTAGGATCATATTAAATTTTGTATTCTGCTTTTTGTCATCTTACTATTTTGAGCATTTCCCCATATTATTAAATATTTCTTGAAAAAATAAATTTAATGGCTATTTAACATTTCATCATAGTTTTTGCCTTTACTAGACTTATTAACATCTTTAAAAAGTGAATTAGCACACAGAAAATAAGTACATAAGTTATAATTGATATTATAAGAATTTTGACCATAGTCACAAACTGCTGTTGGTTACCTTCCTGTATATGGTTTTCAGTGCTGGATTTAAAGGTTCCTTTCTTATGTTTAGTCTGAAATTCCATGACCGTCTAATAGGTGAAGGTAATGACATTATTTCTCCACTTTCTTCAAACCAACACTTTCCCTATCAAAATATTTAAGAATATAGCTATTAAATATTTCACTAAAAACAAACGTCACACACTATCAGTGAGTAGTTTAGCTTGTTAGCTAGTGCACTTGCCTCTTCTAGTTTAAGCAGGCGGTTTTCCATTTTGTTGCAGGTCTTTTTATATATTTCTGGCTTTTTCTGAATATAGAATCCTTCTTCTTCTAAAATGCGTGGCATCATATCTTCTGGCAGTTTAAGCTGGTTAATCACTTAATAACAAAACCTATATATTACTTTAAAGTCCAAAATATTAAACTGATATTGACCAAATGAGAAGCAAAAGAGAACTATCATATTCCCTCTACCAAAGTCAAGCAGAAAGTCTAAAGAACACACACACACACACATACACACACACACAAAATAAATGAACTCTTTTAACCAATTCCCTCAAACTCAGAGAAAGTATGAAGAACAAATATAGAAAACCTTATATAATTTTAGATCAGTACTTTTTATCTATCCAGCATACAAAGAAGTTATTATCCTATAATATTATTCATTAATGACTTGAATATTTTATTGTAAAAGAACTTTACCTGGAGAACTACTTGGAACAAAAATATTTGCCTGTAGTTTTTTCATTTGTTCTTGATCGTCTTCATAATCAGCAGCCTTTACTTCAAGTAAATCTGGGAAAATAATTTCTTCCATAAAATCTTCATCTTGGCTCTCAGCAAAGCTTTGTAAATTATCACCAAGTGAAAAGTGTTTGTGGTAACTGTCATTTACTGATCTCTGCTGAATACCAAAAAGAAAAATAAGTACCTAAGCTTGACCCTATGATTAACATGCAGATAAATGAAATGTACTGGAACCTTGCTATAAAGTCTTTCTGATCTATGCTACCCAGTTCAAGTTCAAGCTGAAACTGTGTTATAATGAACTTTCATTGAACATAGAGGAACTAACTTAAGGTTTATTATTATAAAATATGATTTTTCTATAGCCCTTCTTTGCAATTCTCAATGAAAGACTATTGAAAAAGAACTATAATTTAAGCCCCTCCTCTCCTATGGAAAATGTTCTGAGATACTGGCCTATGATATTTCAACTATGGAGATTTCACAGCAAAGTGCAAAGTCCAGAGATGTCAAGCCATGTGGTCTTCAGCCCCATTTTTCTCACCATTCAGAAAGCAGTACTTCCTAAAGTTACATGGAGCAGTCATGCTGTTTTCTGGATGGTATTTAAGAAAGAAAAGTAAAGATACAACATAGAAGTCTGTGGCAGAGTGACTGATTATAGTAAATTTCCAAAATATGATATATAAAGTTACAAACAATCTGAATATAAAAATGCACACTCTTACAGCATATCAGAAATTTTATGAGTTTCTTCACAAAAAAATCACCAATTCATTTTGGATGACCTTACTTGTCTAACTTAAAATCTACATATATTGAAAGAAAGAAGGAGACAGAGTATGTGAATCATGCAAATAAAAATCCCTCAGTTCTCAAAAATTTACATTTAGGGGTAAGTAATAAAAAGAATTAATCATAGAATTCCTTTGAATAGAGAACCTTATGTGGCCTTGATCCACTGTGACAAGATTATGTAAGTAATATGGTTAAACATCACCTAGGTTCACATCAAGTCATCCCCTATCATCATACCCTCCCTACATTCCTGTCATGATATCAAGAAAATATTTTACATCCAGAAACTTTGGTTATCTTTTTCAGAAGTCAAACAAGGTGTAACAGTGACACCCAGGAGCAACACTGGCAGACCTTCAGATAGGGGATCTCTTGAAGATTCCAATCACAGACAAAAAAAATGGTAAGAGTGGTTTATCTCAGAGTAGTGGGATTTCACATGACTTTAATTTTCTTCTTCATGGTTTTCTGCATTAAGTTTTTATAATGTATACATTTCATTTGCTAGATTTTTATTTATGTTTTTAATTTGGGGGGGTAATTAGGTTTATTTATTTATTTTAATGGAGGTACTAGGGATTGAACCCAGGACCTGGTACATGCTAGGCATGTGCTCTATCACTGAGTTATACCCTCCCTCATTCTAGATATTTAAAAGATAAAGCTCTTTTCCTGTAAAACAAGCAACAATAACAAAAAAGGAATGAAAAACTTGACCAGGATACAAAGAAAGGGGAATGGAAGAAATTGAGAAGTAAGTAGGAAGGCAAATGGAGTCCAAGAGGGACTCAAAAGGAGGACCTGAAGGATTTGGAAATGACTGAGAGGTGTCAAAGGATATTGTGTAGAAATCTTGAAACAGGAGGTAGTGTGGGACAGGGCTTAAGGAAACTGCAGAGGGATCTGAAGGTAGAGAGGAAATGGAGAAAGTGTAGAAGACAGGAGCAAACAGGGAGACCAATGAGACTGACAGATCAGGGGTGGGGAAAACCCAGTGACTGATTAGCTCTGGAGGAAAGGAAAATCAGAGAACAACAGGGGGCTGAGGAGTTTGCGAGGAACTGGGAAGAACTGGGAAGAACTGATAGAAATTAGAAGGGGCTGGGATTGGACTGGGAGGGATGAAGAATGGGAAATCAGTGATGAGTAACAGAGACTATGGAGAACAATGTGGGGCACTTGGAGAGAAGACCAGGAAGGCACTGGAGCTGACAGCCTGTACCTCCCAGCTCCATCACTACTGAACCCTGTGTGCCTGCTTCCTCACCTGTAAAACAGAGATGATGCCTGCCTCCCAGGGTTTTTATAAGGGCTGAATGATACAATCCACATTAAGAATTCAGCATATCACTGAGCATCCAGTAAGTACTCAGTAAATGTTAGGAATTATTATTACAAACAGCTTCTCAATTCAAAGAGAAGAAGGCAGCTCAGTAAAAAAAAATTTCATCTTCCACCAAGCATTTCATTCTATGCCTTTATAAAGAGTTATTTTTTCTGAGAATGAGTATGTGGGAGAAGGGGAACAAATCCAACCTGCTCTGAAGACTGGCCTAACGCTGAGTATTCTTCACCACTCAGAATGAAAAATGAAAGACCTTCATCCGGTGAGACTTCAGTCTGTGGGTTAAACAATGGTAAACCAGTATTGGGTGCTGAAATGAATACTTTTTCTACTTATAAGGGAAAGAAATACTTTTCTGAAATATAGTAGTAGTAACTGTTATTCAAGAACAAGGGATAACAGGAGAGACAATATCAAGTTATAGTCAACCTTGAGTCTGGTTCATAAATTATTTTTGTGATTTGTTTTGTTTTTAAGGTTCTGGTAACTGCAAAAAATAAAAATAAAATGGAAGCATTATTTTCAACAGCCAAGATATGGAAACAACCTAAGTATCTGTCAACAGAAAAATGAAAAAAAGAAGATACACATACATGAAGGAGCACTATTCAGCCTTAAAAAGAATGAAACATTGAAATCTGTGACAAAATTGATAGCCCTTGAGGCCATTATGCTAAGTGAAATCAAGTCAGACAGAGAAAGATAAATCCCATATGAGCTCATTTATATGTGAAATTTAAACAAAGCAAAACAAAATACTAAGTTCATAGATACAGAGAATAGATTGGTGGTTGCCAAAGGCGAGAGAGTCGGGGGCAGTGGGCAAAATGGGTGAAGGGGGTCAAAAGGTACAAACTTCCAGTTATAAAATAAATAAGTCATGGGGATATAATGTATAGTATGGAGACTACAGTTAATGCTGATTGCATATTTGAAAGCTATAGAGAGAGTAAATCTTAAAAGTCCTCATCACAAGAAAAAAGTTTTTTTATAACTATGTATGGTGACAAATGTTAACTAAACTTACTGTGGTGATCATTTCCCAATATATACAGATATTGAATCTTTATGTTGTACACCTGAAATTAATGTTGTATGTCAATTATATCTTAATTTAAATATTTAAAAATTAAAAAGAAAAACAAACAGGGTCCAGATCTTCTTCATCTTTCCAAACTACCGCTTCACTCTAGTCAGAGTATTAAGAGCATTATCTTAACAGTTTGATCAAAGTGTGAACTCAGGGTAAACTCTTTTCTCTCCCTCTGTTTTTGAGTGCTCTCATGTATGTGTGCACTCAAATTCAAGTACCAACCCACTCCACTACAAACTTTTGTGAAGTTAGAAGTACTTGAAAGTATTAAAAGTGGCATTTTCTTAGTAAGGAACTTGCTTATAAACAGGCTCTCATTTTTCAATACTGCAAAGTCTGAATCTTTCAAATATAAATCACCTATCACTTCTTTCTCATATGCACATGTAAACTAACTGTTTTTAAGAGGTTTGGGGAGAGGATTCAATTCTTAAATACGTACATACGTACATAATATACATACACGTATACATAAACCTCCTAGTTCTTGAGAGTCAAAGAATTTTTTAAAAAAGTAAAATACAAAAGCTTATCCTATATCCTGTTTGTATCTACAATTTAATTGTCCCATTAACTTAAAAATTATGCATCGTGCAACAATGCTGATATATAAACAGTATATACTTTTACTTTCCTCTGTCTCTACTCATCGCAAAACCATTTGCTAGAATCCTCGACTTCCTAAGCAGATATCCCCATCTAGTAGTTGGTATGCAAATTCTTAGAAACAAATTTCTCTTTCTTTTTACCTCTTTTCTTGACACTCAGTGGACTGATCTTGACAAACTTCCAAGTTTATGCTATTCAGAGTTAAATTCAATTTAGACACATTTTTATTTATTTGTTGAATGAAAAACATGTACACAAACATCTTTTTTTTAAGTCTGCTTTTACTTTTAAATGCAATTAAAATATTTTTACTAAGCACTCAAGAGGGACACTTTAGAGAAGACAAAGATGAGTTTTTCAAAAAAAAAACAATCTTTACATTTAAAAAATTTGTAGTTAAATATTCTCATTGCTTATGGCAAAAATGACTAGTTGTTCATTGCTGTCTTGTCTCTAATAATAGAATCTACTTTTAGCTGGATACCTAGACATTTTCTCCCACATTCTTTCAGAGGAAATAGTGTGTGCAACTTGCAGGTCTTGTCCCGTGAGAGATCAATCTGCAGTCCTCTGGCTCTGTCCTTCTCCCTGCCCTTTGCCCAGGAAATGAAGACACTGGAGCTGTGCCATTAGACTCAGAGGTGGATACAAAGTGTTGAAGATGGCCAAACTCTCCTAGCAGGCTGGAATATTTATCTATTACACTAGAGAGAAATAAAACTTCTATCTTAACTAAGACATTTTAGTTTGAATCTTTTTGTTAAAGGTGCTTAGCTTTTACTGTAAGTAATATAGTTCCTCCCAAACATGAACTGCTTTGTCATTTCAAGTTTCAAATATGTGATGACACATTTTATTTCAGAATAAAATCTGTAAATTAGGGATAGCCTATAATATTTCATCATAATTTTTTACGATGTAAAATAATGTAGAAATAAGAAGTGACTGAAAATTGACATCTTTTTGAAGTGACAAAAAGGAAACTTGGTTTTATTATATACACTGACTTTACCGTATATCTCCTAATGCCCACTTATATTTCTAGGGAGTTCAGTTTCTGTTTGAACTCATCCCTTAACAAACTGTGCTCCCAGCCAAAACCCTAGAATAGGATTAGTCATTTACATGGTCTAAAATTGGGTTATACTATTGACTGTATAATTCTGTATGTTTACTAAAAATCATTGAATCATACACTTAAAATGGGTAAATTTTTGCTATGTAAAGTATACCTCAACAAAGCTGTTTTAAAAAGTAAAAAAAGTTATTCACCTTAGACAACTGATGTATCTTATTTTCAGTAAGCAGCTGAGTTGAAGATTTTTCACCTTGATTAATCTGAAACACAATGTAAATAAACAGTATGGAAAACTTAATAGTCACAGATAAAGAGATAATTGTGTTCATAAGCCTTTTGCCCAAAATGGATAAAAATCAAGACTTCTCAATGTTTTTCTTTTAAAAAGTAAATACATGTTTTCCCCTGAGATGTCATATGTAGCTACCATTACCAAATCACTCAAGTTTTCTTGGCTTTAGGTTTGGGGAAAAAAAAAAAAGAACCATAGGAATGAACTTGAAGCTTTTTGGATTTAAGGAGCTATACTAAAATTGAATTTGGCTCTTTTTTGACAAAGAAATGCTTATCATAATACATGTTGCATTTAAACAGTAAATATGAAAACAGGAAAGAAAAAAGTAAGCATTACCTTGGCATTTTTTAGCTTTTCTCTTACTTTGCCTCTCAGAGCTTCTATAATGTTTTGATTTTCTCCCATGTTTAAATCTATTAAGAAGTGAACATAATATGGAGTTCATGACACTTTCTTACAATTGAACAGCAATAGCATCAGAAGTACTCATTAACTAGCTAAACAGCATGCATTTCTATAGATCATGACAATTATGAAGACTGGGTCATTGCCCCATGAGAGCTTAGAACCCAAGAAAAGAGATATACCTTTCCCCTTTTCCATCTGGAATAAATACTCATGCATGGTCAGGGCTAACTTTGTAGTCGGGCCAAAAACAAAAGGCTCAGGTAAGCAAATGTTTATCTTTTTCCTTTTAGGAAAAAAATCCGTGAAAACAGTCATATTCTATGTAAACTGCTCTACAGTCTACAGAATATACAAATATCAAAGCCAGGTTACTTCAACTTGACTAAACTGAAGAGGAAGGAATCTGAAAGAAAGAGAGATTAGTCTCTGGGTACCCATTTCAGCTACTTCTGTCAGTTTTGTCAACTCAGTATAACATCGCCAACCCCTACTTCTGCCAGCTCTTGCTGGGTATAAAGAAGGCCCCAGTGGTAGTGAGCGCTCCAAGCCACATAGTATCTTCAGCTCATCCACCAGATGATCCACCGTGTGGACTGAGAAAGACAAGGCTTAAGCAGTTCGAGGTACAGCAGAAAACGGAGGACCTATGTTTTGCCTTGTATTTTTCTTTCTTCTCCCTGCCTTTGAGTACTTAAAGGTTAAACAGAAAATGGTGGAAGTAAAGGGTAAGCATAAAGCTAAATCAGTACAAGTCATGAGAATCTTCGTTCTTAACTGGAGTATTCATTCCTTGGTATAATTTAAAAATTAGTAGTTGGGTTTGTTTATACTCTATTCCCAGAATTTAGAATGACAGACGGCACATAGGAGATGCTTCATGAACATCCGCTGGACGAATGAACCGGAGCTCAACCATTTTCTGTGTATATTTCTCCCTGAGATCCAGAGCTTCCTGACGCAGGTTCTGTATCTATGCATCTTTGTGGTCTAAGAGTCTCAAGCACTAGTAGATTCTTCATGTTTTCAGAGACAGAGAGAAAACAAAACTTAGTTTTATTACAACTTTGCCTTTACCATGTATTTCTTTATGCCCATTTGCATTATCTAGGAAGTTTAGTTTTGGTTTGAACTTACCCCTTAAGAAACTGTATTCCCCGTTGAAACCCTGGGATAAGATTTACATTTTTTAAAAATAAAATCCAGCAGGATCAGAGCTGTGGTATACTTATTGAGAACCTTTTTGGAGATGCTTGTCTACATTTTCTCATATTGCAATGTTATCTCTTGTTTCTGACATCTGCAAAAAGGGGGAAAGGGTTGGTTTCCTTGCATGCTTTTGTTTTAGCATTGAACATCTTTTCATATGTTCATCAGCCCTTTGAAAGTCATCTCCTTTAAAATGCCAATTCACATCCTCTGCATGTTTTCTTAAATTTCATCCTTTAATCAATTGCTATGAGCTCTTCATAAATGGTGGGTTTTTAAATTAAGAAATTACTCTAATATCAAAAAGGATCTTTTTATAATAAAATCTAATAGTCCTTAGTGTTCATATATTGCCTACTTTATATATATTTTAGGAGGGTCAAATGAGAGCAGACTTATGAAAATACTTTGAAACTCAACACTATATCCATGTTAGCTATTACTTGATTACTCTGTAGCATCTGATAACTTTCTAAAAACTTTCTATATCCTTCTCCTCTACCCTTCTACCTCTCTGGCCACTTATTCCTTGTATCCTTCAATGGTCATACTTCTCATAGCTTTAAAAATAGAATAGCAAAGGACTCCTTAAATGACAACTGAATATGCTAACTAAACTAATGTGCAGTTGGAGTGGAAAGAGCAAGCAGACACATAACAAGACTTCCAATCACAGTGAAAACATGGATTCACGTCAAAAGCCAAAGCAGGATATCGACATGATCACAATAATCGCCTAGTCTATAGATTTTCTGAAAGAATTTCAAAATCCACCAGCGCTTCCTGTACCACACTTAAGAACCACTGAGTATGGTCAGTATGAACTAAGATGTTCTATTCTTACTGAACCTTCAGTATCCTCTTCAACAAAATTAAAAATGCCTAATTTTAATCATGACCAAGGGACAGCAACCCTTGAAGGTGTGATGGAACATCAACTCCAGCAAGTTATTAATAGAGGTCTCCTTTAATTCCCAATAATTTCACTCAGCATTCTGGATATACTTTCATAACTTTCCATCCCCACCTAGAAGGCAGGAATAAAATACGAATCTTAACTGGAGTTACTTGAGGTGACATGTAGATATCGATCCTAAAAATGTTTCACTCACTGATTAATAATTTTTTTTTTTTTTAGCAAAGCAGGTAGTGAATTGCTGGCTGGCTAAGAGAGCAGATAAATAATTAATATTTAAATAAGGAAATAGATAAATAAGCAGATATATATATAATTCACCTCTGATGTTCTTTACTACATAATTGACAGTATAATTCATCCCTAAACTCCCTTATTATTTTTTTAACATATGAACTCTGTGGTCTGTATAAAGAACCAATAATATCACATTTTTCAAGATTATCCAACATTTATAATTGAGCTATTTAGTATAATAAAAATCCTTACAAACTCTTATAATTGAGCTATTTAGTATAATAAAAATCCTTACAAACTCCACTAATACTTTACTTTTCTAAAAATATCTTCTTTTTGAAATCTTTTTCATGATGATTCTTTCATTTCCAAATAAATAAGAAATATTCTTAAGAAGATATATTATTCAGAGAAAACAGCTGTTTTGCTACTTGATATAGAAGTATGCTACTTAAAAATTTTAATTTAAAAACTAAACAAAGAAATACACTATCGCGTTTAGTATTTAGTTGCTGATTTCCTTTAGTATTTTCCAGAAATTCTAGTTAATGTAATAAGATATGTAAAAGAGTAAAAGGTATAAATATTGGAAAGGAGAAGACAAATTATCATGGTTTTGAGGGTAGGTTTTATACCCAGAAACCCCAAGACACTCTATCAAAACAAGTTTATACATAATGAAAAAGCTAGTAAGTGGCACAATACTATAAGAGACTATATGTCAAAGTTAATAGCTTCACTATGTGCTAATGTAACAGAAAAAAAATCACTTTCATAATAGCAATACAAAATTTTTCCAAAATACCTAGGAATAACTTCAATGAAAATACGTGGGAATTCCCTCCTAACTATAAAACTTCACAGTGAGAAAAAAAATCTGATTAAACATAGAGATATTCTGTGGAGACAGGAAGGTTGGTTAAGAGGCCATTATAATAGTCCTGATGAGAGATGCTGGAGATCTGAATCAAAAAATGGAAGTGGGAATGAAGGGTGGAGAAAGATTCACTTAAGAGGTAGAATTACAGGATTCAGTGAGCAATCAGATGTGTGGGCAAAGTGAGGGACGAATCAAGGACTCTCAGGCTGTTGGCTTGAGTAACTGAGAGGTAGTATCATTCCGAGTGCTGTCAAAGTAGGAAGATAGTTGGGGAAGAGATTAATGAGTTCTGTTTTTGGAAGTTGCTTATGGATGTTTATGGTACACTAAAGTGAGAAGTCTAGAAGGTGATTAAAAATACCAAATTGACTTGGAATAGAAGAGGACCAGGTCTAAGTTAGCTAACTCCCCTGTTTAATCAGTAAAAAAGACATTTAAGAGATTGACTCCAAGACTTTTTAAAAGACTCAACACCTTTAAGATCCTTCTTACCAACATGCCAAGAATAGCCACAACAGGAATAGGATGCCAGGAAAAGAGAATTTTGAATTTACTTTCTACTCTGCAAGAATTTCTAAAACTAACTTCAAGTCAGTATTTGGCTTACTGATGCCTAGATGTACAAATTGTATCTTCTAAGCTGGGAAAAACATTAGCAGTGGCACATCCTATGGACAGTTAAATTATAATAAACTATTAAACAAAAACATTATTGTAGAAATTATTAATCAGGTTTTTTGCAGGCCTGGAGATGTTTCTAACCTAGTTCATTTATCACTCCATAAATGATACAAAATAAATAAACGATTATAGACAAAAGAGTAGATAAAATTGAAGATCTGGATGAAAACTGCATTTGCTCTAATGAAAATCACATGCAAAAGTAAGGAAAAATTATGTCTCAGACTTCTACCTTCTTAGAGAAATTCAACTTTCTGTGTTAGAAAACTGGCTCCAACAGTTAAACCCAACCTTCTCTTCAAGGATATTGCTTATTTACAATTCTTGCAGTTAAAACTTTCTCTAAAAGATAAAGAAATTGAGGGTTAGCTATTTTTGTATCAGATGACCTGGAGGTCCATAGTCAAAGCCAGAGAAAGTCAAATAATTCATTCAGTCTTTTCTGATCCACAGCAGAGGACAATTCTATATGCATAAATGTTTGCCTCTTGCTTAGCATTTAGAAAATCTCTAGGTTCTGCAAACTTATCCAGCAGTGTCTTTATCACTACAGTGATTCCTGAAATAAAATTTCCTAAAGCCTAGTCTATGTTGTGTGTAAATTTAACATTCAATCACCTTGATTACTTTTATCACCTGCCATTTGGTTTCAGGAGTGTTAGCAGAATAAAATTATAGGAAAATTTCTAGTGTATGGAATGGTCACTAAATGTAAATTTTGCTATCTAGTAGTATTTCCTTGGTTAATTATGAATTAACTAGAAATTTACTTTTCCTTTAGTCTTCCCCCAGCTCTTGCTGAAAATCATTTCGAATGTATGAATCCACTTTTATTCCTTAGCAGAACTGAATTTGGTCCAAAATCCAGTTTTATCTTTACCTCTGTTAATCTATTATCACGTAGTATGATGAATCCTTTTTGAACGCCCTTATAGCAGGGTTTTTCAAAACATGCTCTTCCGAATTTATTTGATTTGAACTGGGATGCTATGCCAAAAAAAATTAAAGTTTCATTCAAAGTTATGATAAAACTAAGCAATGGTAGTATTTTTTCAAAGTAAAAATTTATTAAAAATATGGCACCAGCTACCGTTTACTGGTACCATGAGGTGGAATATGACTAAAAAATTCTTCAATTAGTTAAGTATGACATAGCATTGTTTCACAGGGTTTCACAAAAAGTATCATGACTTCCCAGTGTTCTGTTTCCTGACAAGTTAACTGTGACCTTATTTTCTAAAATAAAAAAGTAGAATCAATGGCCTGACAGAGGATTTTCTGACCTGTGAATTTATGTGTTTGAAAGGCATCCAAACTATATCATCCATTTCTCTCAGGACTAAGCTTGAAATCATAACCTACTCCATTAGGTCAAGAAGGATTGAGTTCATGTTCCTTGAGACTTCTGGTATATAAAATTTGAGTAAGTGACAAAACATTATAAAAACTATAGTATGTCTTGAAAGAGTATACCTAACATACACAATGCAATGTAATTTTGCTACCCACAAGGTCCTCACAGGACTGACAAAAATGTATCAATGCATAGAGCAACAAGGGCCATGAAGCCCAGAAACCGGACACAAGTAAGTCCTGTGATGCTACCTTTTTTTTAAACCTGAAGATATATTTTGGTGCCTCTACTTACACAGTCTCCACTGGAGAGAAACTCAAAATGGAGGCCCTTTCTGTAAGTGAGGCCAAAAGACGCTGGTGTCCACATTCCCACCTAAGACCTTCTCACCACTCTCCAAAATAAACATTCTACTATACCCAGAGCAAACTCTTCTTTATACTCCCTGCCACCTCCATCCTTTGATTTTTGCAATTTTCCCCCAGTCTAGAGCATTCCACATTTCAAAGCCTGATTCAAACCTCACATCTTCCAGGAAGTTCTCCTGACTCTGGTCCTTCTGTGACCTCCACTAGCACTTACAAATCATAACTTTTGTTCATTACTCCAGCTCACTTTCTGTTTACCCTAAGGCGAGGACGAGGGCTGGGGCACGAACTCATCTACCTTCCACCAATCCTAGCAAGGTGTTTAGCACTCCATAAATACAACGGACCCGGATTCAAAGCAAACCAAGCCGTGCTCTCGAATGCTCTACAGTGGAGCGGTTCTCAACCCTATTAATTCCCAAAGCGGGTAACCAAAGGGTTGGCCACAGGACCTGGGGACTTGCAGTCCAGTGGCCCGTGCAGGCCTGGCCCCGGCTGCCGGGGGTCCCCTGCGGGCTTCCTCCACAGAGCAGGGCTCCACCCAGACAAAATATTGGAGCCTGACAGGGCAGGGTCGGGGGCCCTTCAGGGGCAGTCAGACATTCACCTGGATGGACAGCGCACTTACGCTACGTCTGAGCAGAGAAGACAGGGCGTGCCATTCACCGCTGACCCTGAGAGGTCACCAACCGCCCAGCACCGGTCCTGCAGTCCGCACCCCCACATGCCGGACGCCCACCTCGAGCTGGCTCCTCGAACCTCGACATCAGGGCCTTCCCGGACATGCGCGATTCGGCCCCTCAGCCGGTGGGTCCCGAGCATGCGCAGAGCGTGTGCCTCCGGAAATAAGCGCGCTTCGTCTGTTCGCCCGGCTCCTCGGGCTTGGGGCTGGAATTGCGGCTCCGGTCTCCGCCTGTTGCCCCTGGCGGGAGCCGCGGGCTTTGATTACCCGCTGCCTGCGTGTGCGTCCCATTAGCCGCCGCAGCTCTGGGGGCTGTTCTGAAGGAGACCTGAGAGCGGGGTGGCCTGGGTCGTGAGAGTCCCGGGCGTTTTTCGCGTCCTAGTGAAGAACAGTATCCCCAAGGGGTGGGTATCGGCCACGCGCTTCCCGACCAGCGCGGGGCGGTGGTGACAACCGGAGTCTCCTCTGAGCAGATGTTCCCGGGGAAAGATGCTCCCGAGTCCGCCGTGGAAGTGCGGTCGCTGGAACCAACTCAAAAGAAAGTTACTTTTGGAAAGATTGTTTTGAGCGGCAAAGTTGAAATGAGGACCCGAGCCCTCCTAGTTCTGTTCCTCTACTTGACCCAGCAGTGTAACTTTTCACATCCGTATGAGGGGAAAGGCAGTGGGGGTAGAGAATTTTATCGGAGAGAATTTGCAGCCACCTTTACCCTTTTCCTGAAAGTTCTTTGATCTGATCATGCTTTAGAAAATTCTTGAAATTCATATGCCAAATAGGGAAAGCCGACATTATTCACTTATATCCTTGCTTTCAGAGGCTTTAATGAGTTCAGAGTCTGAAGATAAAATTTCTTATTAAAAAAACTTTAAAGGGAAAAGTGTAGATTTTTTTTATTACTTTAAGCTATTTTTTGAACTCTAGCAGTGAATGGAGATGAAAGCAAAGTCTGAGTTTTCTGCTTCCCTTTGAGCTAATTGCAAATTCTTTTTTTCTTAATTCTCATTATGATTAATCACTCGTAAAAGATATTTCTAGTTCAGCTTCTGCATTTTAACTATCCTGGAGTTCAGCTGGCCCACAGAAAGTCCTTCCTATTACCCTCCCAAAGGATTGTGTTTGTTGAGGGTTTTAGATTTGAAGAAAGTAAAAGCCTTCTTCCAAAGCTGTAGTAAAGATTTTTGTAGCCAGCCAAATTACAGCTCAATGCCTCCCTGTTAGGAGTCTTAGTAGTCACTTAGTTCTTCTCATTAGGTGCACAAACACCTAATCATATCCCCTTAGTTCTTCAGGTTAAGCTATGAATAGTCCCGAAACTCTTCACATAGGGCACCATGAGTATGGGCTAGCTGTTTTCCTTGCCTTTTCCATCTGAGTCTTTGCTTCAGTATGAACCTAATTTGGCCCGAAAGATAGCATATCCTATACATGGTCAGCAAAGTCTTAAAAGTCCAGATAGTAAATATCTTAGGCGTGCAGGCCGTATAGCTTCTGTCACAACTCCTGAAACCTGCCATTGTAGCCTGAAAGCAGCCACAGACAACGGAAACAAGTGGCCGAGGCTGTGTTCGTAAATCTTTATTTACAAAAACAGATTGCTGAGCTTCCCACCCCTGTTCCATACTGTTCCCATCTGCCGTGGGTAAATTTTATTTCCTTCCACAGGGCTGAGACAAAATGCATCTGCACTTAGTCTTCTAACTTGAAGAATATGCTGTACAGTCAGTTTCTCCAGATCACTATCCTAGTACCTACTTGAACCTTCTAGATGTCTTAAACACCTGGCTCACATTATCTTTTTTTTTGAGATGAGATTTGTATAATATAAAGTTAACCATTTTAAAGTGAACAATTGAGTGGCATTTAGTACACTCATAAAGTTGTGCCACCACATCCTCTATCCAGTGAAAAAACATTTTCATCACCCCATATCCATTAAGCATCTGCTCCCCGTTACCCCCTTTCCCTAGTCCCTGGCAATTATCGATCTGTGTTCTGTCTCAATGGATTTACCTATTCTTGATAATTCATATAAATGGAATCATACAATATATGATCTAATGTGTCTGTCTTCTTTCACTTAGCGTAATGTTTTCAACGTTCATCCACATACAGCATGTAGTAGCATTTTTATTTCTTTTTATGGCTGAGTAGTGTTCTATTGTATGTATATACCACTGTTTGTTTATCTATTCGTCTGTCAATGGACATTTGGGCTGTTTCCACAATTTTGCTATTGTGAATAGTGCTGCTGTGAACACACATTTGTTGAGTAACTATTCTCAATTTTTTGAATTAATGGATATGAGAGAACAGTGATTCCCAAATATGGCTCTTTGGGGATGACTTGGGGGCTTGCTAAATGTAGACTTCCTTGGCTAACCTTACACCTGATGAATCAATCTCTGAAGAGGGATCCAGGAATTTTTATGTTTTTTATGCATTCAAAGTGATTCTGTTGCCAATAGGCCACAATTGGGAATCACTGTAATAACAAGGTTAGGTTTCAGAATTGAAATTGATAGGCAAAAATGCTGAGCTAAAACCAGTAAGATGAAATTTATAGAGGTAACAGTGTAATCCTACAATTGTTGATTTTTTTTTTAAAATTGCACTGATAGGATGTGGAGACCTGTCTTAGTCATTCATATTAAAAAAAGCAGGGAAGGGAATATTACTTGATGCAGTAGAATGGTGGTTTCTAGGGGCTGGGCAGGTGGGGAGGGAAATAGGGAGTTTTTAGCCAAGGGATACACAGTTTCAGTTTTGCAAGATGTATAAGTTCTGACGATCTAATATGTAGTATGGTGACTATAGACGGCAACACTGTACTATATACTGGAAATTTGCTAAGAGGGTAAATCCTAAGTGTTCTCACTACACACACACACACACACACACACACACACGTGTGAGCTAAGCAGTTGAGGTGATTGATAGTGGACATAATTGTAGTGATTATTTCACAGTGTATACATATATCAAATCATCAAGTTGTATACCTCAAGTATATAAGATTAAAAAAAAAACCTGTAAGTGTTCTGTTGGAGTCAACTATCTTGTACGAACTGCCATTCCATTCTCTTGATCCATTATCAAATTTTGAGAAACACCTTGTAACAACCCAAGTGCCCATCAACAGACGACTAGATTAAGAAGATGTATACATACACATATATACATACACACACACAGTGGAATATTACTCAGACATAGAAAAGAATGAAATACTGCCATTTGTAGCAACATGGATGGACCTAGAGATTACGTTTAGTGAAATAAGACAGAGAAGGACAAACACTGTAATGATATCACTTATAAATAGAATCTAAGAAGTAATACAGATGAATGTATATGCAAAACAGAAATAGACTCACAGATATAGAAAACAAACCTGTGGTTACCAAAGAGGAAAGGGAAGGGGGGAGGGACAAATTAGGGGTAGAGATTAATAGATACAAACCATAAAATGTATAAAATAGATAAACAGTAAGGATATACTGTACAGCACAGGGAATTATACCCATTATCTTATAATAACCTATAATGGAGTATAATTTGCAAAAACACTGAATCACTATGCTGTATACCTAAAACTAACACAATATTGTCAATCAACTATACTTCAATTAAAAAAGACATCTTGTCCGTAAAACATGCATGAAAAGCAAAACTTACAATTTAAAGTAGGTGACTCATTAGCTTTCGTCAGCTTCTCAGTGTCAAAAAAATATTTTAGACGAGATTGTCTGAAACTAACATAATCCATTGATTTGCTGCTACACCAAAATGATTCTGCTACTTTAACTTACAGTCTGAAAAGAAATAGGCAAATAGAGCTGCCGTGGTCATGATTCTTCCTGCAGCATGAAAGGGGGCCTATAAAATATGTCCTACCTCCTTTCATGCAAGACATATCCTTCTGTTAAGGACCTTAACCCTACATTTACTTTAACCATGTTGCACCATGCAGTGATTTTGCTCACCTTCACCATTTGACTGTAAAAGAGTATATTTTACTCTTTTCCATGAAATTTCAATCCTATTTTATCACTGATTATAATTAACACTTGTTTCTGCAAGATTGGCAAAATGATGACAATTAATGGAGTTCTGTAATGGGCACATGGATGTGTATTATATTATTCTACTTTATGTTTGAAAATTCTAATAACAAAAAGTTAAAAATAACTTGTTTCTGTTTAGACCTCTCTGTCCAGAAGATAACTGGAGAATACATCCTTCAAATGGATTTAACTGTAGGAGACAGAGCAGATTCGCACCGTATTCTTCACGGGGAACTTGCATCTTCAAGTGTATTCCTAGAAGGTAGTTCAGTTGACTAATGTAGAGGTAAGAATCCAAGAGATACGGAATAGCACAAAAGGTCATATTTTTAAGCTACTGATTATAAGTATAGTATGACTGTTGACTGAAGAGCTGAAAAGAAAGAGAGCATTATGATTTACCACCAAGAAAAAACTGCAGTTGGTATTAAGTAGTTCACTTTAAAAGCAGCCCACTATTTACCTGTATTTGTCCCCTTTTTCATTTTTCATTTTTACTGGGCCAAAAATAATTTCAAAATTAAAAAAAAATTAAGTTGTATGTCAGAAGACAACTTGTGCTATTACAAAATTAGCCATCTACATTTTTTTAATGTTTATGTGTTTCTAAATATAAGGAAACTAACAATGTGGAGTACATATTATTGTTGATTTTTCAAAACTGGAAATCGATTTATTTATTGAGGCTCTACTTTTAGTTACACCTGCTAATGAATTGCGTTTCTGGTTTCAAACTTTGTAAAAAAAATAATTTCCTTATGATTCATTTTTTCATATTACAAATAATTATTGTGTGCATATGGCAGGAGATTGTAGCTTCTACCCAGGTGGTTAAACTAAAAAACCATAGTATTTTAAAACCCATTAGAACTCTTTCATCCTTGGTAGAGTGGCAGGAAAGGAAAAGGCTAAATTTAATTGGGTCCCATTTGTTTATTCTTGCTTTTATTTCTATTGCTTGGGTAGACTGCCCTAGGAGAATATTTTTGAGATGTATGTGAGATAATGTTTTGCCTATATTTTCTTCTAGGAGGTTTATGTATCTTGTCTTATGTTTAATTCTTTAATCCATTTTGAGTTTATTTTTGTATATAGTATAAGGGAGTGTTCTAGCTTCATTGATTTTTTTTTAACATTTTTTTATTGAGTCATAGTCATTTTACAGTGTTGTGTCAAATTCCAGTGTAGAGCACAATTTTTCAGTTATACATGAACATATATATATTCATTGTCACATTTTTTTCACTGTGAGTTACCATAAGATCTTATATATATTTCCTTGTGCTATACAGTATAATCTTGTTTATTTATTCTACATTTTGAAATCCCAGTCTGTCACTTCCCACCCTCCGCCCCCTTGGCAACCACAAGTTTGTATTCTATGTCTATGAGTCTGTTTCTGTTTTGTATTTATGTTTTGTTTTTTTTTTAGATTCCTCATATGAATGATCTCACATGGTATTTTTCTTTCTCTTTCTGGCTTACTTCACTTAGGATGACATTCTCCAGGAACATCCATGTTGCTGCAAATGGTGTTATGTTGTGGGTTTTTATGACTGAATAGTATTCCATTGCATAAATATACCACATCTTCTTTATCCAGTCAGCTGTTGATGGACATTTAGGCTGTTTCCATGTCTTGGCTATTGTAAATAGTGCTGCTATGAACATTGGGGTGCAGGTGTCTTTCTGAAGTAGGGTTCCTTCTGGATATATGCCCAGGAGCGGGATTCCTGGGTCATATGGTAAGTCTATTCCTAGTCTTTTGAGGAATCTCCATACTGTTTTCCACAGTGGCTGCACCAAACTGCCTTCCCATCAGCAATGTAAGAAGGTTCCCTTTTCTCCACAGCCTCTCCAGCATTTGTCATTTGTGGACTTTTGAATGATGGCCATTCTCACTGGTATGAGGTGATACCTCATTGTAGTTTTGATTTGCATTTCTCTGATAGTTAGTGATATTGAGCATTTTTTCATGTGCCTATTGATCA